CAAGTCTTTAAATATTTTTTCAAATCTCCCGAATTTTTGTCTGGAGTTTGATAAAAAAAACCTGTTTTTTTCGAGAGCAGCTGAAAGTAAAAACAAAGTCAAGATTGTGATATAAAATTCAGCTTAGTTATAAAATACTTTGTCAGGCCTTGTTTTCTTTTAATTCAGTCAAGCGATGCTATAATCTGAAGAATTTTGTTAGTGTAGTCTCTCTGGAGCTACAATGTGGAACTCACTTACTTCTTATAAGCTAGAACATCCGATGAAATTTTGAACTAGTTGCTAAGACCTCTAAAACTGAACACCTGTTATGGAGAGTGGGGATGAAAAATCACAAAACTTCATCTTAAAACTTATACTTGAACTTTTTTGCAAAAATATATCCGCTGCCCACAAAGAACGAGATTCGAGTGTGCGAAGACATGCAAATAATCTTAAAAAAACTGTTACTATACCTCAAAACTCATTTGCAAAGTTTGCAAGTTTTGCTTGTTATTTTATCGACTGCAATTCTTATGATGTTTGCCATATATATTTGTTTTTAGATAAGATTCAACGATAGAATTCATATCAAAAGAATGCATAGATAACACTGAGATGCAGTATTCAAAAACGCAGTAAGGTGAAACTTGATGGTGTGGGTATCTCTGCGAGAAAAGACAAGAATTTTGCATGCACCCGACACTTACACATTCGTGCCGTGATTTTCGAACTTGTCTCTGACCAGCTAGATTAGGCCAAGATTTTATACACGCCATCTACCTGCCCTATTTTTTAATAGTTTTCAACCAAAAAAGACTTAATTCCGAGCAACAAACATACTTCAAAAATCACAATAGAGTATAGCGAATGGTGTAGCATGAAAAATCAGCATTTATCGTTGCCTTTTGTCAAGACACGATGTGACCCCTATTGAAATATCATCTAAATAATAGCATGTCAAATTAAGTAGACTACGGCAGGAAGGTCAGCCCGAGCTAAATGCATCACAGGCACAGACAGATTGAGGAAACTTACAGACTGTCATTGGCGACCAGACCTAAGAAAAGTAAGCATGTTTGGATCTCCGACTCACACCCATACAGTCACTCATATCAATAATCATACCTCAAGACGACACTCACAAACGTCTTCGTGAAAAGACATTATATGCATATAAGAAATGAAAAATGTATATTAAAATATACAGAACATTCATAATTTTTATCGCATTCAGCATAGACATCAAATTCTCTTATAAACTCATGATCATATCTACTTCAATGCAACGGTTTAGAGTGCAATGATTGACATGTTTCTTTAGTTTTTTCCTGATGAATTGTGCCACATAGACATGGGAGTGGGTGTGTGGATGTGCGTATGGATCACAGGTTTGGTTTGAGTGCAAGAAGAGAAGGCATAGCCACAGCGGCACTTACAGACTAAAAGAAAATGGCTTCGATTTTTTATCTATTTTCTAAATGTATCTATTTGCAACTCATTTATTTGTTATAATCAGTTAGCTCAGGGCAAACTAACATACTTAAACTGCACGGTAGCAGTGGCAAATTTTCTTTGCTCTAGCAGTGAAAAATTAATTTGTGAAGGACCTTCTTCTGACAAGAAATCTAGACTAGTATCACTAGAAATAGCCTTTAATTTTGACAATGAAATGCATTTGCCTGTGAAAGAAACAAGAAAAAGATGTCCTTATGATAGCATCAAGAAAATAAAAGTTCCATTAAGTATTTGAGTACTTTATTTGTAAATAGGTATTTAGTTTAACAGATGAAAAAAATGTGCCTTTAATCGTCATGAGACTTTTATACGGCCAGCTTGGGTTAAAATAAAATAAAAGGGCTGAAAAATTTGTTTTCGATTGAAAAAAGTAGGTTGTCAACAGGCTAAGCAGCATGAAAGATGGTCCTAATTGATTATAATCACATTCACTTTTGACATTATGAAATCTTTCATTTAAAATCGATTGTCAAAGAAAAACAAAGTTTGCATGTTCTGGTTTATTGAACTATCCAAAAATTTCAACGCTTCAACAAACAAATCTGCAAGATTGAGAACTTAAAGCTTTTAATAGAATTGGAAAAATTCACCAGGACGAATTCAAGAGTTGTGAACACAGCAGCCTTGAGCAAAACTTAAACTACTTGAAAGCCTGAATGGCAAAAATCTAAAGAGACTGCAAGAAAAAGATTGATTAAAATTTAAAAGCAAGGAAAAGATCGAACAAATTAGAAATACAAAGTGGAAATGAAATTTGAAAGCTTAAAAAAATAGTTCTCCTGTCAGTTTCTCCAAAAGAAATCAAGTTGCTAGTTCATAATGTTGTACTATGGCGCAACACCACCGAAACTGTCGATATAGACATAACCTTTATGATCAGAAGATCGGCAATCAGCTGCTAGGACAGTCAGCGTGAAGTTGTGACCTTTACGACTGCTATCGATGGTCAAGTGTTCGATTTGCCAAGAGGGTGTATAGAAGAATGAGCCTGTACTCTTGAAACGAGAAACGATGCCGTTTGAACCTGCAACAGCATCGCAACGGCGCATGAGTAGTGTATCACCCATAGTAGTATCTTTCAGTTCGATTATCATAACACTGGCATTAGCTGAATCGTGATTACCATCTTCCAAAACTGCTAGCCAAGCAAAATAGATGTTCAAACAGAAATAATTGTTAATTTGTTGACTAATGACTGGCGCAAAGCCTCTTTTCCTTAGATCTTCTAAACGCCACGCGTATTTACCACTGTGTGTAATTTTTGGCATCAAAGTCTTAAGGAGTGGATCGATCTCGCTACTAACAATACTTGAATGTTGTTTTGCAATGCTTGCGTTATGGTGAGAACCACCTGACAAATAGTCTTTCGGCTGGATTTCAGACGATAAGATTGATTTTCGGATGCCACCACCAATATTCCAGCCATCTGAATTACCAGATTCGAAGCCATCATTGACAAAACTGATTAAAGAACACACTGTAAAATAAAATCAGAGGTAGACTAGTCAAATATTGCCGTTTCTGAATTCGGTTGTGCATCTATCAGAACTCTATAGCAGTGAGTAAACTGGTTTTTTGTTCATGAACAGAAAAATTAGTTAGATTGTGGAGGAGTGACAAAAGACATTTTTTTGTGAAACCGAATGACAAAGGAGTGTTGCAGTTAAAAGAGAAGGAAGGAAGTTGTCAATAATCGATGAAATGGTGTGGGTGCGGGTGTGTGGGTGTGGGTGTGGGTGTGAGTGAGTGTGGGTGTGGGTGAGCGTGGGTGTGAGTGGGTGTGGGGTATGAATGTGGGGTATGGGTGGGTGTGGGTGGGGTGTGGGTAGGGGTGTGGGGTGTGGGTGTGGATGTGAGAAGAGACGATACCCACGGCTTCACACCAACACCCACACCCACCCCACACCCACACCCACGACTTCACACCCACACCCCCACCCCACCCACACCCACACCCACAGCCACACCCACAGCCACACCCCACACCCACACCCAAAATTGAGATAGCTGTTTTACGAAATTAGAGAGCAGCAACTCGATCATACGTCGATAAGACAGATATGTGATCACTGTTTTGACGAATCGCTAAATGAACATGTGATAAATATGTATAAGTGAGAAATGAAAATTGCTCTATTTCAATTTCCAAAGGCAAATAACAATTACATGATGCATGATTGAAGGTTTTTGTTGTTTTTGCCAATTTTTCAATACTAACTCGATAGAATATACTTGGATTGTCTTGTGAAATTGAACGTTGTAATGTTTGTATACAATCTCATAGAAGAGAAATACGTTTCAAGTCATGTGGTATTTCATCAGATAAACGTTCAACGACTAATTAATGTGTATCGAAATCAAATATGAGAGGATTATAACAAACAGCGAAATATCCAATATCATTGTAAGCTGTCTCGGAACAACCAAACTCTCACGTACAAGTTTTAGTCGTTAATTCATATTGTGTCCGCGCCATTCGAAATAGAGTTGCACGCGAATTTTGCTTCGTCTGTCTTAATAAATTTTCACAATAACCTATTATGTCGTCTCTTGAAAGTGTTCTCCATGGTCCCAAATGATAACCATAGTCATTATTATTTGTAACTAAATACTTATCAACAAGTGTTATTTGTTTATTCTCCACAGCACGTTCTGAATCAGATTCTTCGTCATTTGATGTAGATACTCGTTTTTTCTAAATGAAAACATGATAGAAGATCGTGACCAATAAATTGTGCTTAATGACGATTAGTCATACAAGTACAATCGACACTGTGGTCTAAATCAATCACTGGTTACCGTTTTTTTTCATCTTGTTGTTCAACTCGATAAAGAGAATCATAACAATTTCGATTATAAAATACAGCAGCAAAAAAATAGATGCCTATTAGCTGAAACAATGGTAAATGCCACAAAAAATCGATTCAGTATTATATCTTCAACCGATGCACGATGGTATTCTCCGTTATTATGTCAAGCGTTTTCGAGACGATGAGCATGTTCGAATGCAAATGAATGAAGAAAAAAACCGAAATGTTTGGCATTCATATTCAGCATTTTTTTTACTTCTTGTTTGTCTATTCATTGATTTTTTTTTAAGTCAAATATTATCTTGATTTTCTTTTATTTTCTTAAGTTGTTGCTATTAGATGATGTCGAGTGGATCATTGATCATCATTGAAATTTTAGCTTTTCATCAATATATCAATTAGTTGAGAATGAGAACAAAAAAAAAGAAAATTAGCAGCATGTGCATCTCTTCCTGCTACCAACAACTATCAATGATATTCTCACATTCGAATATCGTCAATGTAAAGGTCATTCCAAGAATATAAGTCGAATTCTTGTGCATTTCTGCACTTTTAAATGAATTAAGCGTATTTCATCAATCGACTTCTCATTATCTGAAGGAGAGATCTTTGAAGAAAATAAAAAATATTACAATAAAATGATCAATTGCTTTTGAATGGAAAAAGTATCATTGCATTCAGTATTGAGAAACTTTATCTTTCTTCCATAGCACTAAAAGCTGCTTGCATTCGTTCATTTAACTCTTCAACATCATATTTGATCTTTTCTTCAGTATCCTTCGTTGGATCCTAAAACAACACAATCATCCATCAATGGAATTCAATAAAGAAATTTCAATGTTTTGATACCTTAAACTTCATCCAAGTTAATTGATGAAGAATATCACCTAAATTAGTTCGAATATCATTCCAAGTTATTTTCTTTTTCGATTGAGCTGTTGTTTCAACGGCATGACGGGACAAATCATAGAAAGCAATGATATTACGTAGCATAGCTACACACTTATAAAATGGACAATATCTTCAAATAACGAGAAAAAAAAAGATTTTTGATGGATATTAGTTGATAGATATCATCTTACTTATCATAAGATGAAAACATATTTTGTTGAAGAAAATCTTCTTTAATCATACGAGCAACTTCCAATGTAATTTGATCTGTTTCAGATAATGATGATTTTCCCACTAATTGAACAATACCAAAAAGATTTTTTTCTTCTTCTAATATTTCTTTACACTAAATGATCAATAGTTTCATTCGAATTTCTCTATTTGAAAGAAATCTTATTTCTTAATTGTTTACCTTCGTGCGTAATGGAACAAATTCAGGAAAATTTTTCTCATAATAATCATCAAGAACATGTGTATATTTACTATATGAAATAAACCAATTCACCGATGGGAAATGTTTACGTTGTGCTAATTTCTTATCTAAAGCCCAAAATACTTGAACAGTACTTAGTGTTATTGCTGTTAGTGGATCAGTGAAATCACCACCAGGGGGAGATACTCTACAATAAAGTATCGATCATTTCATTCAGCTCATTTAAAGATACTTACGTTCCAACAATGCTCACAGAACCGTCACGTTCTGGATTACCTAAACACCGAACACGACCAGCACGGTCATAAAATGAAGCTAAACGTGCGCCAAGATAAGTTGGATAACCTAAATCTATCAAAGATAAACATAAGATAATATATATATATAAATAGGATTGCAAAAGAACAAACCAGCAGGCATTTCAGCTAAACCAATAGAAATTTCACGTAAAGCTTCAGCCCAACGTGAGGTCGAATCAGCCATCAGTGTAACATTATAACCCATATCACGAAAATATTCCGACAATGTTATACCTGAAAATAAGTAAACTCGACAGATAAAACTCAGATGATAACTCTGAGGATAAGGGTAATGTATTTAGCATTCCAAGTAGTACATCTATCCAACATCACATATTACTCTCCAACTACGATTCCAGTTAGAGATCTTACTGCTACAAATCAGAGAATATAAGCTAAAGTTAATTGTAAAAGATGAATGCGTAAGCGAGCTGCAAATTTGCAGTTTACGCATGTTGGCACTCATTTTTTTTATTATTGAAATATTGTGGTATATTAAGGACAAGACGAACAAGCCTGTATAAATGGAAGCTTCACGTGCAGCAACTGGCATATTGGTTGTATTGGCTACTAATGTTGTTCGTTCCATAATCGATACTTCTTTTCCTTCTACTTCCATTGTTAACTAGAAAAGACCTTCGACAATAATAAAAAGCGAAATCAATCAATGAACTAACTTGTGGAAAATCTTGTAACACTTCAGCCATTTCATTTCCACGTTCTCCACATCCAACATAAACCATAACATCACTATTAGAATATTTTGATAATGATTGAGTGATAGCTCCTTTTCCACAACCAAAAGCACCTGGAATAGCTATTGTACCACCTTGAACACATCTATGGATATAAATAGAATTGTTTTTATTGTAAATTCAATCCTTTATCGAAACATACGGAAATAATGAATCTAAAACACGTTGTCCCATTAATAATGGATGATTAGGAACAAGTTTTTCAGTCACTGGTCGCATTTGTCGAATTGGCCAAATTTGAAGCATTGTATGTTCACGTTTTTCTCCATTGAATTCAGTTTCAAGAATAACATCCTATGTACAATCATAAATTGAATTGATGAAAAAAGAAAAAAAATCAATCAATTGAACATACTTCAAGGGCATAATTGCCTTCCAATGCAATATAAGTCACAGTTCCTTTTACTTTTGGATGAAGCATTAATCGATGTTGAATCATTTGATCTTCTGGTACTGTACCAAATATATCTCCACCAGTAATATGACTACCAATCTGAATTTCAAATGAATGTAAACTTCATTAATCATAGAAAAAACAAACCTACTTGAATGCGATTTTCAGGAGTAAAATGCCATAATGTCGAACGATTTAAAGAAGGACCATTGATAGCACGTGGAATATAGATACTTTTTGTATAATCATAAATCATTGCAAGAGGTCGTTGAATACCTATCATTCATATAGATTCCATTAATGAATATTCACTTAGACTAGATTGTTAAACTAACACTATCTTTCATCTTTATTCTGGGTATTTTCATCAAGAGAGGATTTAGATTTCAACTCTTTTCAAAGAAAATTAACAGTTTAATCTGGTACAGACACGGTAAACGTTTCCTTATTTGGGAAATAGTTGATATATTACCATCGAAAATACTTGTCATTATGCCTGGACCAAGTTCGACGGATAAAGGTTTGCCCGTTCGTAGAACAGGATCTCCAATGGTAATACCAGCTAAACAAATACAATGTCATTTGAACATCTTCATATTCAATGAAAATGTATCTATACATATGCCTTCGTACACTTGAATTGTTACTAAATCGTTTTCCAAACGAATTATTTCTCCAACTAATTCTTCATGACCTACTCGGACCTATTACATCATAATTAAATTGTTTATTGAAATTATAGAAAATATATCATTTTACTAATTCGTTAATTGCTGCACCAGCCATATGATTTGCCATTATCACTAGAAAACAAGATCTATTTCACTGAATGGCAATTCATCTATGTTCATTACCTGAGCCACATACTCGAAAGACATAGCCATACTGTGTTTCTCGTTCTACATCCGCTATTTTTGCAAGTTTAGTTCTATCTGCCATACTTTTAGTCCGACAAATAGCAACAAATTTATCTAAAAGACAATTTGGTCAAGTTTCTACCCGAACGAAATTGGTGAGAAGAACAGGGTAAGGTAAGGACAGTTAGGCATTGGTTGAGTAAAGTGAATGTATTATTGTTGAAGTCAAACATGAAAATACTGTTTTAGTTTTCTTCTGGAAGAAGGATTCGAAATAAATAAATAATGATCTCTATTTGCGATATAATGGAATCGTAAAGTGAATCATTCAGAAATAATATCCAACATGAATAAGATCTAATGGACATCTTTTAGAAGCATGCCATCACAAAAATCCAGATTTAAGGATTGCAAATCATTAAACTCTATGTTCTAATGAAGAATATTCTTCCTAACTAATTGGTTAGAATTGAAATAAATCGATCTACAATACTCACTCGATAGGCTGTCATCAATAAGATCTTCTAGATTTACGAATAATTCTAAGAATGACAATAGAACGAATGTTTGTCAAGTGCGTAGATACATAAGGAAAAAAAGAAAGTTCAGATAAAAGTTTAATGAGAGAGATATGACTTTTTTGTTTGATGTTGATCGTTCATCTTTCCAAACATATGTTCCACAAAAGATATATCCATGTTTAACAGCCATATCAAAAGTTTCTCGTATTCTAACACTACAAAATTTATGTAGAATATTTGGTCAAGTTTGCTTATCAATTTCAGCTAGAATTGGATCGACAATTCACCAAGCTTCTAATTCTAAATAAATTGCTTCATTGAGTTGAATACGAATAACTAATTCATCAAGAGCTAAAGAATTATGCGGATTATCATGATGAATTTCTTTATCAAACATGCTTCCAGGTGCATCAGGAAATTTATACGAATTTCAGTTTTCTTTTCATTTAATACTTTACTTAGAGAAAAGTCACTCGAAAAATCTGCTGGAAGAATAAAAGGAACACCAATCCACCGTTCATTGTTAATCGATAAGACAACTTGAGTCTAGGTTGGTGTTTTAGAATCTTTAAGTATATCTGAATCACCAATATATTGTCCAAAAATAACATCTTCCATTTTAATTGGATTTATACAACGTAAAACTTTCACTTTTCCATCACGAATATCTTAACCTTTGGTTGAACGATGTTTTTCCCTTGCAATAATTGATAAAATTTGCATTAAATACAAAATAAACATACAAAATAAAGAATAACTTTTTTTCATCTATTTAAGATTACTCCAGAATTTTGATGAAACGAGTAGAAATTGACCTTCTCAAAATCTAAATACTGTTCGATTCAGGGATGAAATCGGTACCTGTTACATATCTGCGTTATTTTTTCTGTTTTTATTGCATAAAACTCCGACCTTGTGTTTCAATATCTTCTTTGTAAATAATATGAGCAGCACCAATTGAATCTCGATTCCAAACACATGATAAAATTATATTTTCAAATCATAGAACAATTATATTTTGTACCATTTCTTTGCCAAGATAATGATCAATACGATAAATTTCTTATTCCATATAAAATGTACTTAAATGTTCAGATAATAGATTGGAACTTTGAAGGTCTTTACCTAAAGATTTTTCAACAATTAAACATGACCAAGCAGAACTAAAGCAACAAAAATCGAGCATATTTCAATAGAAAGATTCGATAATTTTCTTACACTTTTGGTCAACAATGTTTACTAATTAATTCTGAAACACTTTCATAAACACTCGATAGTAAATCTAAATAAAATAATTGATGAGCACTTTCGTGTTTAGCTATTTAATTTGCTTGAGAATTTGATCGCTGAAAATCTTCTCCATTATCGTATGAATCAGCGACATAAGAATTTAATTCACGAAAGTTATCATAAATTTCAAGTTCATGTTCTTGAACCTGCATTTAAATGAAGAAACTTCTTTTTGTTTTTATTCATCATGATATTTGTCATAATTTACTTTCATAAATTTTTCAGAATTTTCAAAGATTTTCTTCAGGGTAATCTGACTATGAGCATAACCAGTAAAACGAGTTCGTTCTGGTAAAAATCCATATCGATAGAGACTCCTATGGAAATAAATGAAATTCTTCTATCATTGAGAATTTCGATTTTTCGACAAACCAAAGTGTTGAATACACACTAAGTTAAAATGTGTCGCATGTGTCGTGATTTGCGACACAAGGAGCTCATTGTGACACATTTTCTCCAGCGACATCACGACATATTTCGTACGACACATGCGACACATTTTCTATTGGTTCTTTTGGAAAATCATATTTCGATTTGTTTTTCAATTTAATTCCATTTAATTATTCTTATTCTGAAAACTCAAGCAGATCAGATTCTGGGATCTTTCATTTCTCGATCATGGATCGAGATTGGCATTTTCTCGACAAAAAAGCAATCGAGAAATAATTTAGAAAAAAAGAGTATTTTGAAAATTTATCTTTCTTACGTTCAACCACGTTGTTTATATCTCACTATATCTGCACAACAAAAAGGTGAATGGATAGTTAGCAGACAGAACGCGACAAATTGGTATACGACACATTCTAAGCACGACGCATTTATATTTAGTATGTAGATTTCCATTTTTTGCTAAATCACCCTAAACATAAAGTATTGAAGAAAAATCGAAGTAAAGGGGATGAAACATACAGATGCACCACAAATAAAGAAAACATGTGAATGTAAACGTTCATAAATACAATCAGCAGTCTCTTAGTTAGTCATTAATTTGGCGCTTGAAGAGAATTTCCATCTGATTTAGTTGTGCTCATCATTAATCGATACTTATCGTTTATTCGATCGATCAGAGATAAAAAAAACAAAAGAATGATTTGAAAATATTATATGATTCGATGGCCTATTGATATGATTATATATATATATATATATATATGAGAAATGTTTTCTTCGACATCATGACATGACACGTATAGGAAAATAAATGAACGAATCGGAAAGAAACTTTTTATATTATAATTCAATTCTGGTCATATTTAGACAAAGAACAATGTTCTATAACGACATCTTTTGACAAGACTTTCTTATTAACTAATTTCAATATCAATGACAAAAAGAATAAATTTCTTTTCATAGCTTTTTTAAATTAAGTATAATCATTATTGAGCATAATTGATCGCTTAACAACCGAAGTCGAATGAGTGATGATCATGGTGGATCAATCATCTAAGAATGATTCCGATTCTTCTTTGATTTCATAGGTTCGATTATTGAACAGAATAATGCAAATCGCCAATCATCTAATCGTCGAGATGGGACTCGTTGTTTTATTACACCAACAATGAAAGGAACTAAGGAAAATAATCGATCAATCAGTACACAACAATTGAAAATACCTTCAATGTAATGAGAAAAATTCATTTTCTAAACAAATGACTTCGAATAAATCTTCGCTGTAGATCGAATTCATCACCACAGAAAACAATTGATTCATCATCAGTACAAAAATCCAGTGAACCATTAACTTTAAAAATAGTGAATCCATTCATATTTCTCATTATAAACATTGATTTCTTTCGTTTTAGACCTGTTGATTGTTTGTTGCTTGCAACAGACCTGCTCTGGTGATTTTTGTTGACTTTCTCTCTGCATTTGATAAAATGTGGTTTTCTTCTTTACTATCCTCCTTAATCAAACTTGACATGCCTGTCCCTTACATCAAATGGATTGCATCGTGGTTAAAAAACGGAACAATATCTATTCATTATGGAGATTCGGTCTCGCAAGCTATTAAAGTTCAAGTTGGAGCACCTCACGGATCCATTCTTACAGCTACACTGTTTAGACTTCACATTCACTTCTTACCATCTATTTTCTTTCAAGCAACATCTCACCTTTTTGCCGATGATTTAGCTATACTTATAACAGATTCACTTGAAAAAAGTTTTCATCGAACATTATTTACCTAGAAGAAAAAGCAAAAGAAAGTATGTTATTACTAGAAAAATGTGCAGATAATAACCTTCTACCTGTAAATGTAAATAAGACAAAAGCATTATTAGTTCATAATGTTGTTATTCCAAGCACATCAAAAGTCGAATATAAAAACCAGAAAATTGAATTTGTTTCATCCTTCAAATATCTTGAAGTGACAATAACTACTAATTTGGGATGTGGAAAATACATGGAAGAAAAACTAAAAAAATATAAGAAAAAATTACAAAGTGATGAAATTACTGCTCTATAAGATATCGATAAAAGACATAACAATTCGTCGTAAAATATTTTTTGCATTCACTCTTCCACACTTTATATGGTTAATCTCGACTTGGTTCTTCGTTACTGAAAAACAGCAACATCAAATAAACTCTACTTTTATATTGGAAGTAAAAATAGTGTATAGTCTTGTTGGATGGGATGATATAACTACTCAAATTCTCAGTCAAGAAAAAACCCTTCATGACTTTATTTACTCATATTGGTGTCGTTTTTCGATCCATTTAGAAAGATCGTTGGAAGCAACTCAATATCAGCACACATGGACAGCCGTTCAAATAATCACTAGCCGTGAATAGTCTTCGTATAAAACTCTAGGCTTCAGAAAAAATAATAAGTTTATTAATAGAATAGAAGATCATCTAAATACATTAACATTTTTATATATTAAAACTTTTTGCTTCCACCGTAATTCCACTTCTCGTAATTGTGTAATCATTTAAAATATAGTCCTTCAAATACAGTGGGTAGATATCACCGACTTTTACATATGTAACAATTGTTAAAAATTTTTCCTTCTCTCTCACGCAACGTGAATTTCTCTATACACTATCAACATATGTTTATATATTTATCTATTTTTCTTTTTCTCTTGGAATATAACTTGAAGGTTAATAATGTAACGGAACTTTTGGTCTAGAAGTAGTCTGTTTGTTAATTTGTACATCTTCCCACTCTTTTAAAATTTTTCTCTTTTCTGTCATATTCATTCCTCTCTTCTTTTCTACTTAATAATGTGAACCAGACTATGACACAATATTAAAGACCCACCCATACCCCACACCCACACCCACACCCACATTCACACCCACACCATCCACATCCACACCAATACTCAGATAGTTTTGGAGACCAATGAACAAGTTCAACTCTCTTGCTATGTGTTTTTGCGGTCTTTACCAAAGAAGTATTCTATCCCCTTGGCCAAATTAAGTGGAACGTCTTATTTTTTCGATTATTTGTCTCCGCTACAGTTATTTGGTCTGATTTTTATATCATACATTATGTTGAACGTTATGCTGGTTTTTACATACACTTGTCAAACTTACGCTCTCGAAAGATAAAAAAAGATGCAACACACACTCACTCTTCTTTGTTCAGACGCCGCATTGAGCTTAAACTTCTTTGAAGTGTTAGATATATTACGTTTTCTGTGGCTATCTCTTGTATTCTATTCTTTAAAACAAAGTTTTGCCAAAAACATAAATATTAAAGAATTTTCCAACAGAAATACATTTTCAAACAACAAGTACTGTTCTATTACAAAAGCTTGGAGCTGTAACTGTATTACATAAAATCGGCGAATAACTTTGAAAATCATTTGCTATACTTTGACATAATTCTGTATCAGAACATTGAACTGAATCTGTACTTATTATATGAATACCGTATTGTTTAGCTTGTCTATAGTTGTCAATAAGTTGTCCACCATCATACTTGAGTAAAACACGAGTTATTTGACCATTATTTGCACATTGAATCATCAGTTGTTCATCTCTCAACGGGTTCGAAATACTAATAAATGATGCGTATGGTAAGTCGAGATTTGTTTGAAGGATAAAGAAAAACTTTGAAAATGGCTTACATGTAGAGATTAATTCTATTATATTAGGTTCATCATTAGTAAAAATCGGTAAGATTTTTCCTAGAGAGACATACAACGGTGGCCAACCATAATCTTCATATGTATAATGAGCATATAATTGATGTTGTCTCTGTTTTTTCAATGCTAAATTGATTGAACTTTGATTACCTTGAATTTGTTCTGGTAATATAAATGAATCAATCGAGAATAGTTGTAATATTTGTTTTATGATTGATTCAAGATGTTGACATCTAACGCCACCAGTTAATCCTGTCAAAAGATCTTCATAAAACATTTGTTTTACTTCCATGAATAGAAAAATTGGATAATGTCTTGGGTTTTGTTTACTCCACATAAAAATTCTTCTTAGACAATCACTCAGACAATAACAATTTGTTTTATCATCGAATAATTGTAAATGATAAACCACATCATTGTTTGGCATTAAATGAATATCTAATTCAATTTGTCTAGTACCAGTTGTTAGTTGAACTTCAAGATTCGAATGTTGATAAGGAAAGAAAAGATTTCTTTGATGATAACTATTATGTGTTCCTAGAATCGTAAAATGATTTAATGTTAAACGTGAATCGATCGTTTCTACATTAGGCAATAGACTGTTGTTAATGTAAGATAAACTACTATTGTCAACATATTGACATTGATCATTGTGATAAATAATTTTTATCGAAGCAAACCATGATATAATGAATAGCATAATAGATATAATAATGTATTGTAGAAAGATTCTGATCATACTGCACATTATCTTTATCACCACATTTATGTATCTTCATGGAGCGAAAGCAAACTAAAAGAATTGTGGCAGATTTTAGAATCGTTGAAATCTTGGATCCATTCTATATGATGTCAGATTTTTTCGTGTACTCCTTGAACTCTCGTAGTATCTCATGTAGCTTCAGAAAACTTTCAGAATTTTGTTGCGCTCCTTGGTGCGTCAGTTTCTCTGGCTTTTCTTGGATTCACAGGTGCTAGAAGGATTCGTTAAAGGACATCGAGGAAAAACAGAGAGACACTGTTCAAGTACTGACAGATCATTCAAAATAACTATTGAGTATGAGAGTCCTAACTTATCCTCCGATGGGTTGGCTACTCGACGATTGATCCTTTCGATGGATCACGGTGATTGATCCTTGAAAATCTCAACAACGTCATTTCGATGGGCCCATACCAATCGAAGCGAAACTATCCATCGCTGAGTCATCGATCTATCAGAAAATGTCACTCCGAACGGTCGATCTAAGCTTCTGATACTCATCGGAGAACCCATCGCAGGAAGGTTTCGAGGAGTCGAAATTAACCAGTTCAAAAAATTTGTTGACATCCGCATGGATATAGTCTCGAACTCTCGATGCCCATCAGACATATGTGCAGAACAGATCGAAGATGAGATGCGAACACATGTTCTTACGATTATGAAGCTTACATCGACGCGCTGATCTAAATACAACTTGATCTTCTAAGTTAGTAAACATGTTTCATCAAGAGATGAAATGCGCATAGATAATTTTGCTCGCTTTTATTGTTAAAAGATTCGGTTTGGTGTTTTTCAAGATATAAGATATTCTGTCTTCCTAATTAAAGCTTCATCAATCCATCATCATAGAGGATGTTGCTAATTAACACAGAAAGCCGTGTCAAGATCTAGCGCAATAGTGTGACTTCTTTGAACAGCAGGAAAAAAGAAAAGCCAAAAAATCAGGGATAAGTTTTCCATCATTCAACTTTGAATCGAAACTGTCCAAGATTAGGAGCCCTCGGAGTTCTGAATACTCGAAGAGCGGGTCGAATTACCATAAACATGCTTTACATGAAGTTTTTGTTTCGGAGTGATCGGGCTTTCGACCAGCTTCGAGCACTCGATTACAATTCGAACAGTAGAGAAAATGGTCTGATGAGTTTCTTCTCATCGAGCGGTCACAATTTCGATGGATTTCGAAGACTCGAAAATGAAATCGAATTACGGCAACTCTACAATAGAAATATTCCCTTGGCAAGTCGTCGAAAATCCGATCGTTTTCGAGCATTCGAAAATAGATTGTGGAGTCGAAAGTAAAGATTCGATGAGTTTCTTCTCGTGAAATCATCACAAACGAGATGAGTTCCACGTGCTCGAACACAAATCAACTCTTCAAAAGAAATAAATCGAGGGGATCAAAACTCCCGAGGACTCAGTATTGGGAATTTCGAGGGGTGTGGATTTGGACAGAGCGAACAAATTATAGTCGAAATTATTTTCGAGCCCTCGCCGCACCCCTCTAAGGCTTTTCAAGGTTTGCTTGGGATACTAGACCATTTTTGTGTGAATTTGCTCGACATTGCGCAACGGGATTAACAAAAACTTACTAAGCAATCAGATTATCAGATTAAATTCTTTTGAAAACTTATTTTACTGTATGCTATTCAGGTCATTCTTGCCCATCCGAAACTTGCCGAACTCGGAAATCTTCGATGTGTTCCAACGAACAGTTTCGGACGCCGGATCAGATAATCGGATTTCTTATGAGTTCCGGCGGTTTTCGACCAGTGGAACCGATCGTAGGGACCAGTTGCTGAAAACAGTTCATTCCGGATCCTCCAGACCACGGGTTCAAGTGAAAGGTCCCATAACGAGTAACCGACTGGAAAGTTATCGGATAATTTCTAGTAGTAAACGTAGACGAAGTTAGAACCAGATTCGACTAATTCCCGGATAAATTCATTCTGAGGACTTGGTTCAAATATCAAATACTTGGTCCATGAACAACTTCACTTACTCTATCGAATGGCGTTATCCGCTTCTTAATATATCAAAACCTATTTCAAAAAACCTCAAAATACGGTTTTTTACCACAGACGTTTTCTAGTAACTATAGTATATCCCGAGTGCATTCGCTTTGAGAACTTGGTTCAGAAAATCAACACTTGATCTATGCACAACTCGACGTCTTCTATCTCCTAGCGTTGTCCATTAGTCAATATCTTAAAACGAATTCCTGAAAACCCAAAATACAGCTTTTACCATAGGAGTTTTTCAGAAGACATTTTTGCGATATCGATTATTCGACAAAGCCATGCGTTAGAGGACGTCGAGTTGTACATGGATCAAGTGCTTATTTTCTGAACCAAGTTGTTGGGTGAATCTATCTGGGATATGTTATACTTTCTGGAAAATCGCTATGATAAAAAAATCGGTATTTTGGGGTTTTCCGGAATGCATTAGTAGATATCAGGAAACGGACAATGCCATTCGTTAGAGCACACCGAGTTGTACATAGGCCAAGCTTTTTTTTTGAAGCAAGCGCTCAGGGAGAATGTATCCGAGAATTAGTCGAATCTGGTTCTAACTTCACCTACGTCCCTAGGTGGTGTGTCTTGCCAGTAGCTACTTATGTCGAAGATTGAAGTCAATGAAGCACTACTTATCGTTATTGGAAAAAGGAAAGATTATACCAATGAACGTCTTTATAGTCAGGATCTGCGTACGGCAGTGCTGGTATTACCTATTGCTGCGTTTTCTGAAACTGACTTTCATCCTTCAGTTAATACTCCATCTGATCATCCATCGACGTCGTCTAGTGATCTGTTCGTTAATAACAAACGACAAAAATCTATTTTCAGAGAGTTCAGCGAGCAATGTTTGATATGTTCGTAAAACAACTGGTTACGACAATGCAGATCCAAAGACTACAACGCGGTCGAGGCTACAATCGTTTTTCAAAACTACAATATATTTTCCCGACCTCGTCTTTTCAGGATTGAGTTGAGTGAGACCCAATGTCTGATACGTTTATAATACACCGGTGGCGTCCCACAAAAAGTACACACTTCGAGAAATAGGTCATCTGACCCCTTTACGTGGTGTTGTTCCCTCTGTGTGAAACTTAGCGTAGCCCATCGGTCACATACGACACGATGTGACTGCTGGGTGCTTCACTCGTGATTTCACAGTTGTTCAACTGTCGAAAAACTGTGTGTTTTAGTAAACGACTGTCAAGACTGTCTCACACCCACACGTCGGATCGTGTCTGACGGCGCTCACCCGAGAGTCACCGCACAGCAGGATTCAGCGTGGCTGACAGGACGCGCTTGATAGGTGGTGCACTCGCGTTTTCGCTTTTTCTGATGTGTTGAGCAACATTATGTCAGTGAAGTTTTCCCAACCGAGAAAAAAATCAAAATCTAATTGGCTGAAGAGAAATTCGCAATAAATCGAACTGTTTGAAAGAGAAAGAGAGTAGTACCGATACATACTTTATTGGAACATTAGTCTAAAATTCTGATCTTTTTCGAGGTCCTCAATTTTTTCAGTCTACACTTGTAATAGGTAAGGGCTCAGCTTTGACAAACTGCTACCGAAAATTGTTTGTGCAACAAGTATATGGATGAGTATTAGCTGATTCGATGTCCTTGTCGTTTGTGCAGTTGCGAAGATCTCTTTCTCAGCTCCCTCTATTTCATTTAAATATGTGCAACTCGAAGCAAGAAATGTAAACAACATGCCATGTTTGCTGACTTCCATTTGCAACTCACAACAGTGAATGTCTTTTGAAAATGCATACATACGTAATTAACAGTGACAGCGAGCGAAAAAACACCCTTGAAATTACTTTCACTCTTCGAAGACTGCAAGAGAAAGATGGAGTAGAACTCATTTCAAGTCTTAATTGAATAGAATTATGATGCAGTAGTTTGGATGAAAGAAAGATGGTTGTCTTTTTTATTGTTTATTTAAGAGCGTTCGTTGAAAGAACTACCAACACGAACGATGAATGATCAAAACATGCAGTTTCACTTTCTTGCAGAATAATGTGAAGGCAATGTTTCTAGTGGAACTCTGTAGTATAATATGGATTTAGTTGAGTAAGATTCAGGATTATACTAGCATTCACGAAGAAAGGTTGGATTTTGAAAAAGCTGATTGAATACAATTTGAGCAAGTCAATTTTATGAAGATAGTGTCCTGTTCTGGGCGAAACACCTATTTTATTTTTGAACTGAGGTTTAGCCTAAAGCTTCCATTCCAAAACCAATTTTGGATACAAAAAATGTCACTTTACCCAAAGTTCGAGAAAACTCCTACACCTTCACTGTAAAATTTTCCACAGTACTTTATGAATCGAAGCACCCACACATGATACTTTATGGATCCATGTATGGGACTTTAGGTAGGAAAGGTGATGGTTTTATGAAATTTTGTCACTGCTGAACTGCTGCACACAGTTATTTTAGCTCACATTTTTCACCGGCAAAATCAAATGACCTCATATTTTGGATTTATCTATGGCTTGTCTGGACATTTCATTTGGATAAACAAAACCGAAAAAATTTTCGGCGACTTTCTGATAATTTAGGGTGATCCTCTGGCGAATCATCTCTCGATGTTTTCTTTAATGCTTTCAACCAATTGAATGTTGACTAGTGAGCAATCGAAATTTTGCGAGCGAGCATAGAAAAAGAAGACGCAAGAAACGAAAACAGAAAAAGATGCGTAGTTCCATAACAAAGAAAATCAATCGTTTTTCATTAAAACATCTCTTCTCAATTTAACCAAATCGAGATTCAAAAAAATCCCTTTCTTCAACTTTTTTTCATACGATGATCGAATTCATGTTTATTCTTGTTTTCTTTTTGTCAAACCGTACATCGAAGGTTTATTCAATCATTGAATTCAATGTGTGAAAAATATTTTTCATTTGTTTCCTTGTCCACGATGCAAACGTTCAAACGACAATCGATTATTCAGCGAAAGAATCCATTGTGACAATTCACTACCTTTTAAAATCATGTTCGAACATTATTTTACACTGCGATTGATTAAATTCACCTCGATTCGTTCGATCGAACACCATTCGAGAATTATTCTGATCGATTAACATTGGATCATGTTTCTCATCAATGCAGTCATTTTCCTTTTTATTAGTATTGTAGCAGGATAATCTTACAACGGAAAATAAT